GTTTTTATTTGGTACATTTGTCTAAATATTCAGTGTGCAATACCCAGTGCGAGTCCACAAGGTGACCATCCAGAGTGGTGTGGAAGGTCACTACTTGCCAAATAAAATGCAGCTTTTCTGTTTTTGCACATCCCAGTTCACTGTTCTACAGGAACTCAAAGGATAATGATAACTCATGATGGATGCAATGATTTCAGAACAAAGCTGTTTTGCTTTCCCATGCAATGGAAGAAAATCTGAACACTGTTGTGTCGTCATGTTTTTTTTTCTGATTTTTTTTCTCAGCCCATAGATGAATATAGAAGTTCAAACCATATGTGTGTGTCTTATCCTAAACCAGTAGAGTTTGATATATAGCTGGAGCTGAGTGATTGAAAGCACATTGCAGTTTAAAACCAACAAGCTTGCCTCTCTATGGATTATTTAACAAACTGGTTATCCTGTTCAACTACTTGCTAAGTACAAAAAAGTCAAAACTACAACGTGAAAAGTTATGATATAATATTACTGTCTGAATACCCCACATCCAGAAGCTGTGATGCTTTGCAAAATGTGATCAAAAACCAAATGCAATGGTTTGATTTTGAAAGTCCTCAGACATTTAGAAAATAAAAATCAAAGCAAAATGTTGCCCTGCTAATGAACTATTTTGCTGTTTAAAATTCAAAATGTCACAGAAAAGTGGACAAGCAACTCAACCTTTCAGTTTCAGGATTAGATTGATTCGTTGTGATCATTTATAGTAGATGTTTAATTGATCATATAACTGATTTTTACTCACATTCCACACAATTTCAAACTTAAAAAAAAAAGGTTACTTGTAATGGTCAGTTTCATCAATTTAAACAGGATTATAGTGATTCTACGGATGGAAATGGCCTTAGTTACTCAGTGGCCATATTTCCAGCTCTCCTGTAGCAGAAGAAGTTCCTCCTCTCACTGCAGTCTCTGAGCCCAAAGGACGTCTGGCTGTTCTTCTCCAGGACGCCGCACCTCAAAGCCGGGCAGCTTGGAAGCTCCGAGTACTGCACCTGTTCTCCACCCACCCAGAACCAGGCGTCGCCCAGGAAGCGCAGGCCCGTCCACACCTGCCACCATCAGCAGAGAGACCCACGTCAGCACAGAGGGAGACCCCCCCAGACCCCACACAGGGCAGAAAGGCGGCCCACCTCCTCAGTGGCGGCCTGCTGCGCCCTCCCTCGCGCGTAGTGGTGGTCATCAGCAGTGGTCAGGGTGGCCAGGT